CTGGGAGCTTGGTTTCCATGCTGCTGAGTCTGGGAAAGCCCTGTAACCCCATACCTTCCTGTTAAAGGAGAAGCTGCTGCCCAGGTGTTGGCACACCACTCAAGGAGTCTTGCTCACAGCACTTAAGACTTTAACTGCAAGGACTGAAGTCCGCGCACAGTGGTGACTCCAGTGAGCCGACTGGTGCCCCGTTTGAGTCCTCGCTTGCACACACGCACCCTCGGGCACTTCCTCTTCTTTCAGGCTCGGCCCTGGGTTTCTGTGGCAGAGTTTCAGGCATCAAATCTTAAAAATACAATTTATTCAGGTGGTACAGCTGGTAAAACAGCTCGAGCTGGGTGCCTCCAGAGAGGGAGCCCGGACAAAGAGATCCCTGGACAATCACACCCTGACACCTGTGCACCTGCCCCTCGCGCGCTCCTCACACGCCGTTTTGGTCCAATGGTGGTTTCTGGTCTGGGGTCTTCTAATGCTTTATTGGAGTCTTTCTCTGCTATTAACTGGTGTTACCTGGCTGAGCTGCAGCTTCTGCTGGTGGTTGTAGCTTCTTTTCTCTCCTGGTTTGTGCTTCTGGCACCAGCAGAAAGTGGGAAACGGTGAAAAGGTCCTAGACGTAGGATAAACTCTACTGAGCAACAGCCAAAACATCAGTGTGTTGTCTACATCATTCTCTACTAAATCCAAAACACAGCACTGTACCAGCTACTAAGAAGAAAATTAACTCTGTCCTGGCTAAAAGCACATCTCAGGAGAAGTTCACAGCTTGAGACCCAAGGCTTCAGCAATTCTAGCGACTCATGCTAAGTTAGTAATGCTAAACACACAGTGTATAACCCCTGCGTCCTAATGCGAAATGATTGACTCTGAGTGATTCATTCTATTTAAAACTTTTAAAACTTGCTGATTTAAGCTAAACAACTAGAATTTCTTGACACTTCCCTTGCTACGAGGAGCCTGTGCTTGCCTGAGGCTCTTTTCTGCTCTTGGGATGGTGTCTGTTACAGGCCAGTGACCTGTATCTCATGGCTTTTTTTTTTTCGCTTTTTTTTTTTTTTTTTTTTTTTCCAGTTCTGGAGGCTTGTGGGGCCTGCGGGCAGGATCTTAGCACCGAGGAGCTGTGGCATAAGGTGCTGCAGGAGGTAACTGAGGAGAAGCTGCAGGCACCTTTGCACCAACTGGGGGCCCTGCAAGCAGCGTGGTGGCTGGCAGCTGGCCGCCTGGGAAGTGCCACCGGCCTCTTCCGGCTCCTGAGCAGCGCTGAGGTAACTGGGCACGGACGGGCAGATGCTGCACAGGTCCCAGTTACCTGTGCTGGACTACCTGCACAGACACAAATAGTTTGCTAAAGGAGGCAGAGCTGGCTTAAATACTACGTTTGTCATAAACCCCACTCTGCAAAATGTTGCTGTGGTATTTGGAGATCTGACTCAATCAATGCTGCCCAGTCAGTGTAATCCTCTCGCTGGCGTCCTGACGTAGCCTAATGGCCCCAAGTGCATTAATGGGTCCCAAAATATCTCCTGCTTGTCAAGCCCCTGGACCTCAAGATGCCAGAGAGGAGACTCTGCAGGGAGCAAGCCGCAAACAATGGGATGCAGAGGAACCTTCCCTGCTGATAGTGAGGGTTGTGTGAAGTCTTCTGAGGGTCTCAGCTTTTCAAATGCCCTTCAACGGCCCTTGGATCTGCCTTGCCAGGAGGTCACCTCACTCTGAGATGAGGAAGTGCTGTCCCGGGCCAGGCAGGAATCATTACAGCAAGTGGGTTGTAGTTGAAGTGAGAGGGTGGTAGGACATTGCTCCCCAGCACAGAAAGCACTGTCAAAGGGTTTGGTGGGACTTCTTTTTCCCCATGCCCTGGGATCAGTGTTTCCTTGTTTCCTTCAGCATTCCCTGCTCTCTCTCCTCTGTGTATTCACAGGATCCAGGGAGAGCTCATTGCAATGACGGGGAGAACGAACTCCTCTCCCTGCTCAAGGCATGGCGAGTACCTGCTGAGGGGCCTTCCCTGCCCCTCGTACAGAGTGCTGAGGACTTGAAAGAGATCCTTTGCACCGCAGCAGCCTTCCTGCAAGGTTTGTGTGGAGCAGGTACTCATGTCTGCACAGCCTCTCACTGCTCTCCTGTCCCAGGACCCCTTGTCCTTGCCATTATCCTGGTTTCTCTTCCCAGGCAAACTGGCCCCTGGGGTTTTCTGGGCTGTTCCTGTGGAAGAGGTCTGGGGCTGAGCCTCTGGGTCTCAGCTTTGCTGTTCTGTATCCAAAGAGCTTCTCTGCGTTTTCCCCAGCTAAGCCTTCCTCTGTGCTGTCACAGGGTTCCTCTGCCTGTCTGTGGCTTCAGGTGGGTCTCTGAGCCCTGCAGTGATCCTGTATAAAGCGGAAGGCTGGCAGGGGGATGAGGAGGATTCTCCTTTCTTCTCTCTGTCTTCTGGCACTTGCCTTGCTGTAAGTGTGTTGTTCCCGTTGGCTCACAGTGCTATGGGAGTGTCGGAAAGCTGTTGTACAGCTTCGTAGCCTGGTGTCACAGCAGGTGATTGATCTCATCCGACTGCTGCGGTCTGTCTCGCTCATAGTTTTCCCTTGCTCGCTGTCTTGACAACCTCAGCAGCTCCAGGGGCAGCCATTACTTCCTTGCTGTGCTCGGGCTGAGGTGGGACCTTCCTGTGAGGAGAGTGGGCAGGAGCTCCTGCCCACAACCTCTCAAAAGCCTCTAGGGTGGTAATAGCACTTCCAGTGGGGAGGTGACAGATGTGAATGTGATGTAGGCATGTGGGAGTGGCCTCAGAGGGAAGCTTGAAATGAGGACTGAAAGAAAAGAAAATAGCATTTGCAATAAATATTCATGAATTAATATCCCAAAGCATCCTGCTGGGAAATGGCCCAGATGTTCTGAAATTCTGTGTGTGCTTCCTCATCTGCGCCACCATTGCAGTGGGTGAATGCACAGGTGGATCTGCCCAGGACCTACCTCTGCCCTTGTTCTGGACCAAGGCAGGTGTCTTGTTGTCTGGGCTTGGAAGCTGCTATTGTTTCTGCTAGACATTTCCATCGAGCAGCTTGTTCTCTTGCAGCACCATCAAATGAAAGAGGACAGCTTGGCACCATCCTGCTGTGCATTGCCGGGTGCAGAGGGGTCAGGCACTGACCCTTCCTATGGCACTAGGAAGAAAAGGACATATATGCTTGTTTGGGGACTAGGTGGGGACGAAGGGGAGCTGCAGAGCTGAAATGTTGGGTCTGTCCTAGGGCTGCAGGCGCTGGAGGCTGGGAACTTCCCCACCGCCCTCTCCCTAATTCAGGAGGCTGCAGGAGGATTCTGCTCCAAGAGGGTCCTGGCCCAGATCTACACCTGCCTTGGATGCTGCGCTCAGCGAATGGTAATGGATGAGCCACTCCCCTGCTGGCGGGGAGAGGGGAGACACAGCCTAGAGCAGGGTGGGGGGACTCAGGCTGGTGTCCATGCTGCCTCCGTGTGATCCTAGGCTGCTGCAGGAGGGCAAGGTCTTGAGCAGAAGTTGCCCTTGTGGCCCCAGCCTCCTTGGAGAGCTGCAAAATCCGGGCAGGGGTTTTGTCTGAGCACAAAGAGTTGCTGCAGAGAGAGCAGCTCAAAAAACAGTCCAAGGAGGCTAAAATGCTCCCCTTGATTAGTGGTGATTGCTGGGGAAGCAGAGCAAGGATCTGGATCCTACCGAACAGTAAAGATGTCAGCAAGATGTCCTTGCAACCTGCACCTCTTCCCCTCTACCTAGGGCAAGCCTCAGACAGCTCTTCAGCACCTGAAACGGGCCCTCCAGGTAGACTTCCAGTGCCTTCCTGCCCTGTCCCACGCGGCAGCAGTGTACCAAGAGCTGGGGGAGACTGACGCAGAGCTGCAGGCCCTGACTCTGCTCTACAAGGTTTGTCTGCTTCCTGTAGTTCCAGGCTGTTTTTTGCCCAGCAGAGCCTGCACAGAGCTTCAACCAGGCTCCTGCTTCTTGGGGGCCCAGAGCAGACGACAGTGATCCAGCGATAGTGCTGTCTTCAGCAGTGGGCAGGAAGGAGCCCAGGGGTCTGAAATTCCTGCTCAGCATCTGGTGGTCTGGTCTGTTAAGACCTTTGTGAGTCCCAGTGCCTGTTGCTGGGGTCTTGGGAGAAGAGGTTGCGCTCTCATGTCACGAAGTATCAGTCTCATAATAGTGTCTAATAGTAAAAAGGCCTTTAAAAGGCAGGTTGTGGCTGTGAGGGGCTGACTGTTAGCTGTCGCAACCTCGGTCTGCCCAGGAGAAGCAGGTCAAAGTAGGAGGTGCTGAGTTAGCTCTTCAGCCATTTGAAATCTGTAAGATAGAAGCGCAGCTGTGGAAAGAGATCTCTGTCCTTAAACATGGCACAAGATCTGGTCCAACTAGGTCTGCAGCTGCAGTGGGAGATGGCATTCCAGGCAGCTCAGAGCACCTTGAACTGAAAACCTGAGGTGATGTGGGTGATCTTGGAAATCTGCTGGTGCTGTGTGGATGTCAGAAGTCTGCCTGTCCCTGCGTGATCCTGGTTGCTCTTGCCGGAAGCGGCTGTGCTCTAGTGTGTAAGAATATGGTCGCTGTGCTGACCAAGTGCAGTGCTTCTGCTCGTCTGGGTGCATCTCAAGGTGCCAGGAGTGGCAAGTGATTGCAGCTGCTTGGGGCTTGACCAGCATCATGTTGAACATATTTTCTGTTCCTGTTTCACAGGCTGTGGAAAAAACCCCTCCAGCAGCTACTTCCTCTAGTCCCTGGTTCCTAATTCAAACAGAGCTTCTTGTCCATACACCAACACTAGCTTCTCTCCTTCGCCATCGCCACCCTTCTGAAGTGAAGTACCTGCTGGCACAGCGGTGTCTCCAGGACGGGAGGTAATAGTGCCTGCGGTCTGCTTGCTACATGCTGCTTGTATAGGCCCTGTGGTTTTCCCTGTGCTCTTGGAAATTGTCCCATTTGGTACTGCTGTTGTAAAACATGGGTGTCATGACCAGAGTGGATGTGGCACAGGGAGAGCCTGTGGGCTGGCGATATAGGTTCCACCTGGCTGCTGGAACTTTGTGGGGTCACTCTGCTCCTTCCAACATCTCTCCTGTCCTTGTTGCAGGGTGGCTGATGCAGTGGAACATTACCTGGATCTTCTGGCTCTGTTTCAGGAGGGGCTGCAGCAGCAGGTAGGTATCTTGGTGAAGAGCTCCCTTAGTGACTTGGTAGATGAGGTTTGGATCCACATCCCAAGGCCTGGGCGCAGGCATCACCCCTGGACTCCAGGTTTCAGTGTCTAGTTTGAGATGTGAAGGAAATGAGGTGGGGGCTGGCACCTCTGACATGTGGCAAGTCTGCCTTTGGAATCACACCAGAGACCACTTGCCACTGCTGTTTGGAGAAACAGCTTCCCCTTCCCTGTGGGGAGCAGCTGCTGGCCTGGTTTTGGATGTCCTTCACTCCCAAGAGTAGGGTTTTGCCACTTTGACTCTTCTGAGCTGTTAGTGCTTTCACAGCTTCTGCCTCCTCCAAGAGGTTCCAGTGTCTGTGGGAGTAGGTCTGAGGTTCGCTGGGCAGCAGCTCTGGGTTTCCAGGAAGCACAGGGTTGATCTACTTGGCTGGGTGCTCTGCACTTCTGCATCTGAGCACTGACATCACTTTTGCTCCTCAGGTGCCCCTAGATGGTGACTCAGCTCTACCCAGGATCCCTGAGGTGTTCCTGGAAGCAGCGTCTGCCTTGGAGCAGGCTGGGAGGCACCAGGATGCCATAACTGTGTGTGAGGAGGTCATCAGCCGGACAACTGACCTGATCCCACGGATGTCACGAGTGGAGGAGAGGCTGGAGCAGTCAGAGTGCCTGTCACCAGGGACAGGGCTGGCGGGTGGACTCCTGTCCCAGAAGAAGGAGAGCCTGTGCTGTCTTGCCTGGAGAGCAGCTGGATACTTGCATCTGGGCTGGGTGTGGGCCGCACTGG